TTGTATCTATGACGAGTTGTAGTGTGGTGCAAGGACTGGCAAAGTTCATTGACGATATCGATTAAGATACAGGGGAAACGTCTGGGAATGTTTCACATCCATTGTCTGACACTGGAAATAATCATGCATATTATGATGTCCGAAAAAGGTGCGTTCCTCTAGGTCCTCCTACCAATATGACCAAGTTGCGAAAACAAGATAAAAATCTACTAAACAACTTCTAAGTAACTAAGCTTTAATTTTTCTGAGTTGCTTTCACATCAACACAGTCCAAACCAGGTATATAATTTTCTCTATAGTACTTCCCATGAATTATGATGCAACAGTGAAAATGAAATAGCAGATAGACCCAAAATCTGTTAGCTTTATGAATGTGGCTGGTGGGCAGAGCTGAATAACAGAAGTGATCCCATCTTTTAACGATCGGGAGAGATTGGCTGCCAAGCCAATTGTGTGTTATTAAACCTTCTTAGAACAACGGTGAAGTCGCCTTAATGGAATAGAACTGCGTTCTAGATAGTCACCGTTCTCCGATTATTAGTATGTACTCGAATACTGAATGATTCGAGCACACAGGAATGTCGTAAGAAACTGCTCTTTCTTTAAAATAGTTTTCCGTACATTCGGTAGGAACATAGGTGCGTAGACCTTTCGTAAAACTCATCTATCTTTTGAATGGTGATGTCCTGAGGCAACCAGATAGCAACCACAGTGATGGTAGATCATATCTTAAGTATCAGAAACTCGACAAATGAAGTAGAACTGCAGCCTGCCAATGGACCTTGACTTTAAGCTCACCCTGAGATTATCCCTGCAGTCCGTAGAATAACCCTTCCAAACCACATCATAGCTTAGACCTCGTCCTTACCATTTCCTTGCTTGACCATCCCAGGTTAGAATCGTGCCAATGGCTCTGTCCCATGGCTGCACGGATCGGTCCATTCGAATAAAGAACTTCGGCAAATGTTCAAGTAACATAATGAACGCCCAAAGCATTGGAAGCGACATTTTGACCATACAGGCATAGCAACGCCTGTGGCCTGTTAATCCAACCTGGTAAAAATGGTGCTGCAATGAGTCAAATGGAGACCCGAGGTGGTGGGTAAAATACCAAATTTAGGAATAGAGATACGGTTCCAAGCCTTACTAATAAACAAAGTACTAAAAGAAGATTTTTTTAAACACTTACCGGATCATTATTTTATTTTTAGGGCTGAAATTAATTTTATTTAGCGAAAGAGTGATCAACAATTTGGCAGGCTATAAATATACCTGTACTCTTTAACTAACCGATGCAGTACTGCGCTAAATTCTTAAGATTAAAAAATGTTAATGTAGCTACTGAGACGGCAAAATCGTCGTCTGAATGCTACAGCTCTTTCTATGCCTCTGATTGCTGGGCCAAGAAATGGAGTCTATTTTTTCTGTGAATATAATATTGAAGGAGCTTAGCAGCTGTAAGCTAAAAAGTTTGGATCCATTTCTTGGTAAAGATAGAATCACGGTCGACAATTATGAGGGACCACTTAACAGAAGTAATGCAAATAAACGTTTATATCTGGTATTCGTGCTTAATTGATTTCAGCTAATCTGATTCTTATATTCGTATTGGAGTAGAGTTTCGAGACCTCTCATATTACTGATTTTTATAGCCAGCATTTTACACCGATGTCTTAGCATGTGACAGAGACTGAGGGGGATTTAAAGTGAAGCCGGATGAAGCCAAATAAGTAATGAAATTCCGCATCTAGGCTGGACAGAAGATAACGACATTATCTAGTAAACACGTCAAAAGGGAATAGATCTGTGAATGTTAGGGTTCAGGAGCAAAAGCGTAATGCTCAGGGACAGAAGACATAAGCGATGTTGAATGCATGCTACAAATGGTGTTTTGTCTTAGCTTACTACTAAGAAGTAAAAAAGGAATTAAAATAGGTTTTTGCAATTCGCCTGAGATAACAGTTGTGATGACTTTCATTTCGTGCGAAATTGACTCGATCTCACTAGAGTATGACAGTGGATCCCTGTTTATCTGCTGTCATCTAATGTTACTATGGCATTTAGATTGACGCATATATTGATACAAATTATCTCAGTTTCTATCTGCGTGTCTGTCATGCGAGTTGACAGACATCTTCAGCTCCGGATATCATTCTCCCAAAAGCTTTAAGCTAAAAGTTAATCAGGAAGACTAACAGGCTCTTCTTTACATGGTATATGCACTTTATTATCAACACAGTAAATATTAATTGATTTTAATGTCGATTGTGTAAAATTGCAGATTAAGTTATGTACTTTATTTGGTCAATAAACCTTGATGAATAGGGCTTAATGTCAATTTATGTTGCAATCACTTGGAGTGATGATTGGTGATTTCTTATCCTGCTTTACACACGTATAAACGTGCATAAACATCCACATATATTCATATAAATACTTAGAATGACTGAGAAGTAATTAATCAACTCAATCAATATGTCCTTTTCTTCAGCTAATTGTTACTATTGCTATAAATAGGTATAGTACATGAGAAAGTGTCAGTTAGTTTTCACGACTTTGTGTTGGCTTGAGCATTTTGTGGGAGTAAGATACAGGCCTGATGATGTTTGTGAGTTGACAAATGAAAATCAAGTTCGTTTTAACTGGAGCAGAAGAAAGATGGCTCGTCGACTCTGTCAACCCCGACTCAGTTTAATCAGGCGATTGCAGAGCAATAGGGTCATATGTGATCGGCCTACGAATCTCTTATTCAGGGACTATCGCAAGAAATGAAAGACACCACAATGGTAATCCAACAAAGCGTCCGATTTAATAGTATACATTCGCTTTTTCTGCTTACTTCAATTTCGAGTGGAAGTGTTTTCTGATGGAATCGCCCTTCGAATATCTTCACCAAACAATTCACTCGAAATGGAAGTAAGCAAAACAATTATGAAACAAAAGATTCCTCGAAACCCAATTTTTCTTCGCATATACATTCGTTTACCTATCGGACCAAAGGTCCCCTAAATGATATTATTTGGGGAGGGTCTGTTTTGTCTTGAAGATCACGCGGATTGAATAATCAAATAGCACAAAGATGCATGTCGGTGGGACGATGAGGATAGGTCAAAAGTGTGGTTAGCCTTAGTAAGAAGGCTCCTTAGGAATGCGTAGTGAAGAGCGAGACCAAGCCTTCCCCACAGTTCCTCATGGTTAGGATAGCTATCAGTCCCTTTAATACCAAACTATAAGTGATGCATGGTGTATCAAATAGTGACTGTTGAACAACCCATATGTAATAGCCACATTGGATTAAGAACACTGTCTCTAAACTGGAGGAAGAGAGGAAAAACAAGAAAGAGTATAGAATGACGAAGGGAGTAATGAATCACAAGTTCGGGAAAAAACGATCCTGAAAGAGTCGCCGCGCGCGGTGACCAGAGACCGTATGTTGAGCCCTTAGAATTACAGCAGCTTCATATTTTGATATGATTCCACAAAATTCAAGAAAAAGAGTATAATAATTGAAAAGAGCCTCTTCACAAAACACAAGGGCTTTGATATTATGTATGAAGAGTTGTCTGAGGTTAGAAAGTTCTCTAGTTAAATTCGCTGGAAGATAAGTAGGAAAATATATTAAATATATAGATTATATGAATTAAAGGCATATGAAATTACTAGAACGGGGAAGGAAACTAAAATAACTCACCAGTTCTCACCTACTCAGGGTAGTGTTGCCAGTAGAACGGATATAAATCAAGGTGGCCGAGTAGCGGTGACAGAAACTTTCTCGATTAGACCGGCTTCATCAAGTACATTTTTATAGGTCGGCCAACTTGCTTTCATCTTCATGTTTCATTGGCATGTCCACTGCCCCAAGGGAACTTTCCGGACAAACCCTGATGGATGGAGAATGCTGCTGATTAAAACTTACATCATTCTCTTGGCTACTAATGCATAAAATCGCAGCATGAGTGATGTTGTAATCTTGGCCAAGGCATTGATCATAGCCTACAGTTGACTTATTGTTCTGGATATCAGCTGGCCTATGTTCGCAATCCACACTCCCATCAGACATAGCTTTACTCCTTGATGGATGATCTTTCCGACGCCGCATTGGCAGCATAGCTGTTAAGAGACTGCAAGCATGCTTACGTGGTCGTTCGGCAACTAAGTGTCCATCATTAAAGGCCTTCTTTACCTCTTCTCTACACTCCTTCTCCTTCTCATCCTCGTCTTCGTCCGCATCATTGTCCTTCCTCTTCTCGCTCTCCTCATCTTCCTCGTCCTCATCGTCCTCTTCCTCATACTCCTCTTCCTTACTCTCTCCATATTCCTCATCTCTACCCTTAATTGCCTCCTCATCCTCTTCATAATCATCATCGCATTCAGCACCTTTATATGATCCAGAGGAAGCTTTAGATCGTAACCACATTGTATGGCAAGATGGTGAACAACTCGTAGGGCCGGTAACAGATATGGATGAGAGAGCAGAATCACGAGTGTCCGATGAATCAGGTTGAGGGAAGTCGGCCATTGAAGTAGAAATTTCTCTCGGCCAGCGAATGATACCAACAGACTGTGCGAGACACGCCACCTGGCTATACTTTTCTTCTGAACAGGATCGAGATACTCGACAAGTCTTTGAATCCGGCTGATATTTCTGCTGCCGGAAATTTTGCTGATGTTGGCGAATATCTGTTTGAGCTACAATCGGTTAGGATAGAAAGCAGGAAGATAAGTAGAATGAGGTTAAGTAGGAAGCAAGAATACCTGGAACGAAAAAAAAGATAAGAAATGCACATATATAATAAAAGACACCAGCAATGCAACATTAAAGATTGGTGTTGCAGACGAAGCTAACTTTATCTAAATGATTGTCTGACCTTGTTTTCGCAACTTGGTCATATTGGCAAGAAGACCTAGATGAAGGCACCTTGTCTGGAGTCAATAATGTACATGATAATCTCCTGAGTCGGAACGTGGACTTGATAAATTCCCAGAATTTTCCTTGGAATCCTAGTCGGCCTCGTCAGTAAGTCTTGCCATTCTCAGCACCAAAGTATAATTAGTCAAGGAGACAAGTGAAATCAATCTCTTGACCAGCCTTCTGTCGGAACGGTTCTACTATCACTCCTCGTTCTGTCCTGGTCCTTCTAGCCATTTCCTACCCTGTTGTCTCGCCCTCCTCCTATCACAACATATGACATGTTTATATTCCAAAAATATGTGCCCTTTTTGTCGAATTTATCGTGGCATCAATACGCCTGTTGTC